AGCGTTTGACTCAGAGCTTTGAGACTGGGAGGAGGAGAAATTTGCCTGCGGAGGTGGAGGAGCCAGTAGAGGTAGCGGCTGAGGCGGAGGTTGCAAACTGCTTGGCTGTTGAACTAAGTAGGCACGACCTCTGTCAAGCTTTGCAGCGCCAGAGTCTAGTTGCTGTTGTCGAATATGACAGTCACGCTCGTAATGGCCCTCTCGTTTGCACCAGTTACAGATAAGTCGCTTATTCCGAGAATTTCGATTTGATCGTTCACGATGGTTTGAATTTGAGTTATTGCCTCCATTACGGAGGTTCCGAGAGCTTGTTCTGCGGTTCGGACGACGGCCTCGAGTTACTAGGGCTTGGCCAGACGTGTTGTCACCTTCAGAAGAGGAATCTTTGATATTGGCAAGCAGGTAGGTCACTGTTTCAATGAAGGGAAGGTTCAATTGTTTTGCCGTTTGACCTTCGGTCTTGTAACAGTCAGGGAGTCGATCCACGAGGATGTGAACGGCTATATCTCGATGGATTTTGTAAGAGGTGTTTTCCAAGGAAAGAAAGATATTGCGGAAACGACTTGTGTAGGTAGAAATGGTATCCTTTGGCTCCCACTTGTTGTTGTGGAATGATTCGTATTGAGCAATTAATGGGAGAGTTGTCCCGCGGTCGCAGCCAGCCTTGAGTGAGGACCAGAGGTCTCTTGGGTTTGTATGGCCAACTAGGAGCTTGCGACATTCAGGGGACACATGTTGACGGATTTTGGTAAGTGTCGGAATATCAATCTCATGATTCGGCGCTTCTGCACCCCGGTGCAGAAGCAAGCACGTACGTACGGGAGCGGGATAACGTTATCCCTAGCGCCCGTACGGCAACCTCGTATATAGCTACCATGACACCCCGGGGCCCCCTACTTTCTCTGAGTTAGGCTTTATAATATCGAATATCATATATATACAGCTTCACCCTTGACAGGCTTGTCGGACTAGCCTTGCTACCGTCTATGCTTCGTGATACGGACCGTAGTTAAACCGACACTGATCAGTGAGGCCCACAGATCAAGACCCTATTCTTATTACCCCGATACCCCTATATTGAGCCGTTCAGTCGACCTCAATTCATACCTATCTCCAACGCTCCGAACCACGCGCTGGAAACCCTGACAAGATGCCTCCAACTACGGATTACTCGAAAAGCTTCGATCCGACAGACAAGGACGCAAAAACCATTGAGAAGTGTATAATAGCCCGAATCGAGGACTACACCGACTTGTACGATGAAGATCTATGGAATACATTTCGCGAAGACTTCTCAACATGGACCGAAGGAGCTTTTAGAATTGCGCCTCTAAAGACTCTTATTAACCTACGTGACACCCTGCGAACAAATGGCGTATACGTAGCGAAAGGACGACAACATGCAGCTACTACACTATCTGAGACAATTGCCGAATCAGAGCAGCATGAATGGACTGAAAGCGAAGTCATATACCATGTA